CTTCCTTCCAGACTGAACTCCCCATTTACCACCAGCCAAGGACGAGATGCAGTTTTCCTGCCGTGGCTTTCGGAAGCTGATATGTCTGGGGCTATTTGTAGGAGGCATGAAGCTTCCATAGGGGACAGCCTGAAGGGGCAAGAGAAGGCAATATTCACTTATTCCAACATTCAGAAGTGCTTTGCATCTCATCACCAAACCTTGGGTTAGGACTGTTGACATTTTCAGTGGGGTCTGGGTCTCCCCCCCTCCCCTCCAGGTTGCAAATGCTACATGTGTGAAAGACAAAATGTGGGAAGAGGAGAATTACATTTCAAAATAAAGGTATCACCAAGTAGGACTGAACCATGGTGCAGACTCTCACCTTTTAAATATTATTAACATATTTTAAAAATATTAATAATTGAAATCAGCTCCATTACAACAATAGGAAGGAAGGAGGGAGGGAGGGATGGAAAACAAACGCTCCTCTGTGTTAAACACAATTTATCTACATACTGCAAGGCTTTTTTCCCTAATCGATTACCATTCTGTTTAAAATTAGAAAACAAAACAAGAACTACGTCCACACACAAATTCTAAGTAGATTTAGGAACTGGGATCCTTCAACAACAACATTTTTTAAAAAGATTTATATTATTATAACAAATAAAGACCCGAAGTAGATTTTTTTTTCAGTTAAATACTCCATGAGCCAAAGAAAGAATCTTCTGTACAAGCTATTGTGCATTTTTTTTTAAAAAGCATACAATAGTGCAAAGCAACAACGACAACATTAACAAAGAAACCTGGGCCAAATATTGGACCAGTTGCATAAAAGAGACGTGTGTGTTTTTCACATCTGTGGATGGGGCGGGTGGAGGCGAACCTTTGGCCGCCGTTTGCAAGCGCGCGTGAAGGACAAAGGTCCTCCTGGAGTGTTTTCACTGCACCCCTACAACTGGCAAGGAATGACCGTAGATACACAGCCTCTTTCAAACGTCTTTCTTTCTTTCAACATCCCAGAAATGCATCTCTGGACAATGCACTACGCCACTCTGCTCATTTGAGAACATGGCCCCCACCGTGTTTCTGGCCCCCACTCCGCACTGTGCTTTAACCAAGATCTGGGGCTTATACAAAGCTAAATGAGTCCCTGAGTGTAGACTGGCCACCATTTCCAGTTTGCCCAAATCAGAGTTTGAAACCAACCACTAACCTGGTTTTCCACTTCCAGATGATGCTAATGGGAAAGGATGGGTGTTCTAAAGGCAGAATGTACCCATCAGTCTTAGATAAGCCATGAATCTCAGCTAAAGCAAAGCAGAGGACTAAATCTAGGAGAGTCGTTTCAGTTTCCTGCGTGTTCCAAACAAGCTCTCAGATCTGGATGTGGGTGAATGACCCAAAATGATTTTTAAAGATCCAGTCAAACTTCTTTCAAGGCTAAATATTTATGAGGACCCAAGGGTGAACAAACTCCCAAGATTCTTAATGATGTCCGTCACCTGCAAGATGTCACAAAAGGGAACCTGAGGCAGAGGGTGGTCATCATCAAAACAGCATGATCACAGTCTGTAAAAGGCAGGGGTGCCTGCAGGGAGAGGGTCAAAAAAGTCAAGATGGCATTCACAATCACACCATCAAAGCCCTTCTCTTTTTGAATGTGGGCTGTGATGCACATAAAAAAGGGGTGGGGCTTTGATGGCATGGATGTGGCCGCCATCTTGACTTTTTTGACCCCCGCTGACCCCCTGCTAAGAGGGAAACGTGGAGAAAGTGCAGCTTTCAATGGATGTCAATCCATGGGAACAACAAGGCAGATATGATGCTACAGTCACAAACCAAACTCCGTGTCTAATGTATTTGCACCCAACACAGGGAGACAAAGATGAAACAGGGGTTGGAGGTGTGACATACTTGCCCATTTTTGTCACAGGTCTGCTATCTACAGATCCCATGGGATAATCTTGGCCACCGGGCACCTTCTAGATCCGTTGGACTCAGTCCTCATGATTTTCACCCAAAGGGATTCTGGCTAGGAATTATGAGGGTTTGCAAACTAACACCTTGGGAGGGCTCCAGGTTGCAAAAATCTAGATTAAGCTCTGCTTAATAAAGGTTATTTGGTGTCATGCAGGGTTAAGGTTACACCTAGGGACAAATATGTAATACCTGATTCCCCTCACCTTTTTTTTAAAAAAGACTACAATCCAGTTGTTACTCAGATTTTGACTCCAACCTTAGGCAAAACACACCGGTTCCTCGTGAGACAGAAAACAACAAAAGGAAGAACGCAGCAGGTTTATTTAAATTATTACCAAAGCTAGAGATTAACTTTGGGTGGTGCACTAAAATTAAAAAAAAAAACAACAGCAACCAAGTATTTCCTGTCTTCCTCTCCCACCCCAGTACTGTGTGCGCTGTGTGTGTGTGTGATATTTCCTTTGAGCTGGGCAAGATGAGAATACGGGATGAGTTACAGACTTTGCTCTAGCTTCCCTGTCCCAAAAGAAAGAGGAGACTTGGATTCCTCTCTGCACACCCTGCAAGGAGCCGTGGCCTCTTTTAAAAGCCAACCTAGCAGAGCATTGGTACCCACAACTGACGTGGCTGGGGGCCAAGAAGTAGCCTTTGGCAGGCGATGTTTTGCCTGGCTTGGTCTCCAAACAAGACCCTGAACTCGGGGCCTTAGGTTGAGTGTGCTGTCACACTCTGGTCCTAATTCACGGAGGTGGTGAAGCAGGTCCGTGCCGCAGTGTGGGCACCTCAGAAGGCTGCCAAATGGGACTTTTTTCCTCTGGGTGAGGAGGTGTGTCCTGGCAAGGTTAGCAAGTGTCATCCTTTCCTTTGCTGTGTGGCACCGGAGTATTCTGATGGCTTTGAGAGACGTGTCTGGAAAACGAGAGCCCCTCTTAGCACTGTCTCCATCTCACCAGGACTGGTGGACACCAGTCACCATTGCTCGTACTCTCTGAACTAGGGGTAGGGATGTGGAAAATGGGGCTCTTGGTTAACACCAAGCCTTCCTTCCACATTCAAAACCTAGAAGGCTGTTATTGCTTGAATAGGTGCAAAAAGAGCTGTGACCCAACTAGAAGTCTTGTCCTTGTTCAGCTGTGCTCCCTTGCAGACAAAGCTGTTTTGTATCAACACAGACCTTTAAATATAAGCTTCTGCCTACTCTGACAGTGATCTCTCATGACTCATCCAACGTGCTCAACTTGGTTCCTGAATCAAAACGTTTTCTTGGATCACACTATACACCGAAACCATAGATTCACAAGATGACCCGGATTCACAACCACAAAACCCCTAATCAAGATGAACACTAATGCGGCTTAGCAAATGGGGCAAAGGCAGTTGCTGAGCTGTTAAAGTGAAGAATGTTCAGGAGAACCTGAAGTGGTGAGCTCTCCTTTGCTAGATGCTTTCAGACAGAGGCTGGGTGGTTATCTGTCACAGATGGTCTAATGCAGTGCTTCTCAACCTTGGCCACTTGAAGATGTGTGGACTTCAACTCCCAGAATGCTGGCTGGGGAATTTTGGGAGTTGAAGTCCACGCATCTTCAAGTTGCCGTGGTTGAGAAACACTGGTCTAATGGATTCTGCACTAAGCAGGGGGCTGGACTACACCCTTCCAACTTTATGACCCTTTGATCCAGTGCTTTGGCAAAAAGAGCATATAAAAAGGTAACTTTCTCACAGCTACCTGGGCTATCCGTCTAGATCACCCTACATGGAGAAGACAAAAGACCGGACTTGGAACAATCAAAACATATGGTCTGCTCCTAAACTGTTAGTCATTCATGCGCCACTGGTTTGAAAGGGCCCAGTGCTCACAAAACTGAGTTGATGGACAACTTTTCTGCCTGATCAAGAAACTTGGGCCAGTTCTGATTCCTAACCGGAAGGAACAGATCAAAACATCTACAGCCTTTACAGACTAGAAGGAGCAGCCCAAGGAATCATGCAGGCACACTTACTTGGATTACTGAATCAACTATTTCTGGATTTACACAGTCACTGAACAATTGAAATCATGGGTTGCGTTCACAGAGCATGTGAAGCTGTGCCTACAACCCTTCAAAAACAAACAAACAACCCCCCTCAAACCAAAATTAAAATTTTCCAGTTCTCTGCGTTGTGCAACTTGCAGCTGCTAGGTTTGTAACTGACCTGGTTCAGCTGGTTGTGTGAACACAATCATTGAGTCAGCAGAGGATTCCCCCCCCCCCTCCACTTAAGAGCAGTTCTTGATAGGACAGGGAAGGATTCCAGCCAGCATTCTCCCTGCTGGGCAGTTCTTCTCCACCCAGGAGAAGTCTTTTGTGGAAAAGGCCGACATTTTCAGTCCCCCAAAAACTCATTGCAGTTGGATGAGATTTACTTTCTCAGCAAGAAGCAGATTTATGACCCTGACTGGAGGAGTGCCTTTCAATTGGTCACAGCTCCGAACTCCTCTTAAGGATGGATAGAAGAAGATGGAAAGAATGGATCTGGAGCAGATGGCCACCATCACTCCAGCTTCTTTTAGTGTGGCTGGGTCATGCCAATGAGACGGTACCTTTCTCTGCCCGTTACTTCTCATCTGGCCATCTGTAGCTGGGGGATATCAGAATGATGGTCAAAAGGGCCACCTTAACATTTTAAGAGGGCAAAGCAGGACATCCAAAGCACGATCTCACCCTAATTTAGCTCCAGCTGAAATTCAGTAAGAGATTTTGTGACCCAAATCCCAGAGAAGGAAATCACAGTTGTATTCCTTTTGTGGGAGTTGGAATAGGAGAATTATTTCATGTTTCATGTGGATAAGATCTGTTGGATTCCCATTCTGCCACCAAACTTTGTCTCCTGGCATGATTTTTCTGATCTTACCTCCTGAGATCGATGCTCCTAGAGCAGTGTTTCTCAACCTTGGCAACTTTAAGCTTATGGACTTCAACTCCCAGAATTCCCCAGCCACCATGCTGGCTGGGGAATTCTGGGAGTTGAAGTTCATACAGCCTAAAGCTGCCAAGGTTGAGAAGCACTGTCCTAGAGAGTAGAAAGTATGTGCAGTGTAAAACAGGGTAGCATTCTGATCCTGACTTCAGTCTGACCTGGATTCATAGTCCTCTGTCATCAGCTCCATTATTTAGGGGACTAATATCAAGAACCTTTGATCCATCATGCATCCATCCATTCATTCATTTGAAACCTTGCGTGGCCTTTGAGATGATTGCTAAGAGCAACCTTCCCAAACTCAGTGTCCTCAGATGTGTTGGATTACATCTCCCATAATCTCCAAGCTGGCGTGGCAATGCTGGCTGGGGATGTTGGAAGTCATAATCTGACCTGTCTGGAAGATGCTAAGTTGGAGAAGGCTGAACCAGAGCTTTCTACATTTGGCCATGTTGCTACAAGAGAGTAGAGCGTTTCCTTTCTACCCATTCTTATGTCTATTCTGGACACAACAGACCACCTTTTGTGGCCGAGAGCCTTCAAGGTGTATGCAGGCAACAACTCCAAGTAGTCCCCATCGATCTGGATACCCCAAGGTGGGGAAAGGCCGCAATGACCATTTGTTGAAGGAGCCTTAAGGAGCTATGAAGGTTTGTTTTGAAATGTATCCAAATTCAAGCTATTGCTACCTTCCTGTGCTTGTTTCATTTCTTATTATCTATGTTCTGGACAAGAACAATCTCACTTTGGGATGCCAGCTGGGGACAGAATGGGGAGGATCACCAATTGCAGCTTGTTTCAGTTCTTTTCTCCTTTAACCACCAACTTGCGTAGAACATGGCTGGCTTTCTAGTCCTTTTTCAATAGGGTCTCCAGACAGCTTCATCCATCCTCACGGTGGTTGTCATGGTTGTAGGTGAGTTACTATGGCTACCGTCTGCTTCCACGCCGTCGGCCTGACTGGTGAGGCTGGGGTTAATCAAGTTGTTTCCTGCCGTGGCGCTCGGGCAAGAGGGTAGCATCCGGGTTGGCGAGCGCTCTCCTGCCACCATGGAGAACTGGTACGACCCGGAGGATGCACCATAGTACAAGTGGTAGGGGGAGGCATTGGTCTGGAAGGGTCCACTCTGGTTTTGGGTGGAGCTGGGGTACGGTGGGGGAAGGTAGGTGTGGTGGAACCGGGTGGCGGTTGGCATGCTGGTCATACTCAGGCCACCGATCCCCGTGGCGGATGGCGTCGCTGTGTAAGGGAAGGCCGCAGACATGGCACCAGGATAATGCATTCTCGGGTCTGGAAACCTGCTCTCGGTGAGGCCTGGTAAAGCAGAGAAGGATCGATCAAACTGCCGTGGGTCGGGAAACGGGCTCAGTTCAGAGGTACCTAATTTTGGAAAGAGAGAAGGGGAGAGAGAACAGGGGAAGGTATTATTTTGGATATCTTTTACAGCAGTGTTTCTCAGCCTTAGCAGCTTTCAGACGGGTGGACTTCAACTCCCACAATTTCCTAACCAGCAAGGCTTGGTGGGGTATTTTTGGAGTTGGAGTTCAACCCTATGCAAGACGCCAAAG